CAAAAAAGCATCTGCCTAGTTAGTTGTATCAGTGTAAAATACTTTCTTGAACGAAATCAGTTGCATGATATGTTGACGTAATTCAAATCACATGCATGATTTTTTCATGATGGAGTGTGGTACGTGTGTTCGCTTGTTTTTTCGGTGTCGTTTTGCTGGAATTTCAAAAGTAAGTCCAGAATTTCATAAAATCTGTCTTAAAAATTTGAAATAAATACGTGATACATTTTGTAGAATAGTATAACACACAAGGGATCTCTAGAAAGAACAACTCAGAACCGCTTGTATGTATTTATCTGCTTTAACATGTGTGTGTGTGTGTATGTGTATGTCTTATAGAATGGCGGTCACAAGTGCTAATCGGGTCTCTATTTCATTGATACATTAATAAGGTAATAAACATTATTTCATTTTTGGAAAAATTTAATTTCTTTTCCTTCGTAATCAGAGTAAACTCAAGTAAATTTTAATTCTGAAAATACAAACTCTGTGTATATGGAAACGTTTTGTTTAAACAAATAAATATGCATTTGATTAGCATTATCTTAAAGAACTCAAAATAAGTTAGATGATTTTATTAGAAATTTTGTAACCCTTTATGCAAATGAGTGTGTCTTCTATGCTTGTTTCAAGTTTAATTAACTACCTACCACCTTCGGTGATAAAAGAGAATGAAGTAATCTTTAGGTCTTACAAGAATTAGAATAGAATGATCAGCTTGATTAATGATTGGCTTAATAACATTCTAAGTAAATGGTATCACGTGAAAACCTCTGGTGGATATCATAAGTAACCATGAGGTCACTCTATAAATTGCTTAGAAAATTAGTCAGATTTCTTTGGTTTTTTGAAAAAAAATTGCTATCCAGCCAAAACAAAGAAATGGAATTGATTATTTTAGTCATTGCTAGCATAGCCCTTAGTGTTAGTCAATTATCCAGTCAGATTAGGACAGAATATAGGAATGGTTCATTCGAAAAGGTCCTATCAACAACAGTAATCAGCAACTCATGTCCTCATCACTCCTAGTTTGTATAACGAATTATACAAC